ATTTTTTTACTTTATTATCAGTTTAATCCCATCCAAATGAAGTGACTGAATAATCGGCTTCTTTTTCAAAGACTCTGGTCCAAATATTATAACTTCTGTTTTGTCTGCATTCAGGATATTAAATTACTAAATTTAAATCAGGACTTGATGATCAGGTTAGTTTATTCCTCTGCGTATGAATAAAGTCCTATGAATGTACTTTTTTATATTGCAGCGAGATATATCCAGGCTTGGGAGTATGTTCATCTTGGACCTTTCTTAGAGAAGAATTTAGGACCAACCATCTCACCCTGGGTTGTTCCAGTGGAAGCACCCTTTCCTTTTGCAGAGCCTAATCCCATACGGGTTAGTAAAAATGTTGCAAGTTGTAGAAAATGTCAATTTTAGTGACATTTATATCCCGATCTTCTAGAGTCCTTGAGTGCCACTGTTATGCAGTTGTTGATGGCTCACCTGCTCCAGCAAATCTGAAACAAATGAATGATTAATGTCAAGCTCTCTACTTAACAGGCTGACATGTCAGCATAAAAAAAGGAGCAGTCAAGGCCCCTATTCCAAAGGTTATTCTCAAACATCTTTGACTGAATGAATTATTTGTAAAGATTTGATTTAAGTAAACATTCAGCTCTGGCTACAATCATATAAAAATAATTCTTCAACAAATAGGGATCATATTTTATAATGCATTAGAAACACGTTTAAGCAATACCTGTTAAAGAAATGAATTTATGGACTCCCTACCAATAGTAGCAGCACTTTCATCTCTCTCCCATATACAAACCATTATTAATTAAATTTCTTAACCCTAAAAATGACTTTTATAACTTGTTACAGCTTCTCTGTTGTGAAAAAATAATTTCACACATTGCTTCTTCCCGTCCTTTATTACAGTGATATTATATATCATAACAATGATAAACGTATCCATCTTAGCTATCCTGAATTTCTCAATGTTTACATAATTCCTTTTAGCTCATCCTGTAGTTTGCACCATACCCCTTTGAAAATGAGATGGTTATTGTCAAGGGGCTTATAAATAAATAAGAGACTGTTCACCAGCTAAGCTCCTCTTCCTGCTTTCTTGATGTTTTACCAACAGGTTCTATTAAGAAGGTTTTGCCTGTTTTAGAGGTTAACTTGATTCAAATCATAAACACATCCCTCATGCCGGGTGTTTTCTCCCAAGCCTTAAAAACAGC